CTTCTTGGTTTAAAGAGTTCGGTTCTTGGTTTCCAAAAACTCGACGTTCATTATCAGGTAAATTGTGCCCCCCCTGAAGTAAAATCCTGGATCCGCCCCTGCGTCCAACCACATCGTACCCAACCACCGCGACGTTCCACCACCGGACATAGCACAGTACCCAACCACCGCATCAAAAATAATAATAAAAAGAAGAAGAACTGCTACGCACGATGAAAAGCCGTTACCGATGCGCCGTAATGAGTTGCAGGCATCAGTCGCGCGCAACGTTGGTAAGCGATCATAGCAGTGACAAGCTTCGCCGTGTCTTCGACGACGGAGGCTGTGCGAAGGAGAGAGAGACAATAGAGAGTTAGGGAAGAGAGAAAGATGAGGGGAAGAGTTTACGACACTGCCGTTCAAAGCAGCGTCGTCCGCCTTCGCAGCAGCGACAACTCCGATGTGTCTTCGACGACGGCTCTGCGAGGGTGGGGGAAGAGGAAAACGAGAGAGAGAGAGAGAGAGGAGAAAAGAAAATGGATAAAATTAAAGTTTTAGGTTTGTGTAATTATGACCTAGAGAGAGAAGATAGATGAAATAAATGAATTAATATCTAATTTTTGTATGAATAAAATTTATATTTGAAATTTGAAATTGAAACTTTAAAATTTTGGTTCCGTGTAATTTCCACTTTAGGTTATTTTTAAATTCAATTGGATTTGGATTGGGTTAAGAAATCAAATTTGAGGTTGGATTGGATTGATTTCGAATTGTGAATTAAAATCTAACACAATCAACCCAATCCGATAAATTTTAAAAATTAATACTAAAAATTTTAAAAATTAAATAGACACAATGGTGAAGATAAAAGAAGGATTTAGAATTTATAAACATCTCTTTATTTATTTTTATTGTTACATAAATTGATTGGCATGAATACTATGAATAAATGCAAAGTTATTTAACGATAAAATAAAAATTAAGGACATAACAATGAAATTAATGAAGTTCAAAAAATTGTAAAAAAGAAAATAATTAAGAATTTCAAACTTATTTATACATTATTTTTCAGAAAGAATTCCTTGTATAGGTGTTAAAAAATAAATAAACGTTTTTAAGTAATTTCAAATTTCAAAAAATTGTCTAATTCCAACAAAAAGTAATCGAATTCAACTTTTATTGGACCAAAACCTAAACCTACTAACCCAAACTGATCCCCAAACTTGATCAGTTTGGGTTGGAATGGGTTTAAACCAATAACTGGATTAGGTTATTTTGATTTTAAATGAAACATACCAAGTAAATAACAAAATTGAATAACAAAACAAACTCTTTATAATATATGTAACATTTTACATATGAAAAATTTCAACTATTTTTTTATTTTCCTTATATTCAATTGCTATTTCATTTTCATTTTTTTAAAAAAAATATTTTTCTTTATTTCGTATTTACTCAAGCTATTTTACTACATCATATACATATATTTTTTCATTTTTATATTTAACAAAATTATGTATTTTTATTAGTTATATTTGTAGATTCTTCTCTTCTATAAACTTTTCGCGCAAAAAACAAATTCATCCGCACAACATATGATAATAAAATTTTTCATGAATTCTGAACAATTTTTTAAGATGCAAAATTACGAGAACTTAAAATGAATAAGAAATTAATTCATAGCCAAAAATTATTTTAATTAGTTGTTTTCATTTTTCGTTCATTGAACAAGTTAATTAGAATATAGCAGTTAATGAAAAATGACACTGAAAGGAGAATTTAAAAAAACAAATATATATATATATATATATATAAAGGCCGTTACTTTACGGCGTTTATATTTTCTAATGGATATCAATGAAAGTTTTACCAGTTAGGGGCGCTGACATGTTAGCATTAGGTTCTCTATAGTGGAAGTCCTTGCCTTGGTGGACTTCATGTCTAATATTATTTTACTGGAAAATGTGTGATTAAAAAAAAAGTGAAAAAAAAACGTATTTTACCGGTGCTAAACAGTAAACACGACAGATGATAATAGACAACTCGGTCCAAAATCAAAATACCATAAATACAAGTATTTCCAAATAATGGACTTATGGGGGCCCAAAGTTAGCACCAAAATGCTGAGGGGCTTTTCATGTTAGGCTAAAGTGTGAAGAGAAAAGTAATGGGCCTGGACTATGGAGGCCCATCTATAAAGTGAAAAGAAAGTTATTTGCCCAACTAATATTTGTTGACAGAGCTCAACTCCTGCTCCTTGACGACTGGATAAAAACTTTTCACTACTGATGTGATAAGATAATTACAACTAATATTTGTTGACAGAACTGATCTTTTGTTCTCAGTGAACAAGATAAAACTTTCCACTATTAATTTACGGCTGGAGATCAATTTTATATTTGTTGATATGTGTAATTTATGTTACATAGAATCTATGAATTTGAGTTCAAGACTTGTTGAATCTTACTGTGTGCTGAGCTATTCAAGATTAAAATATGGCCATAGCAGTGAGGCTAGGCTAGGGACTTGTAGCCTTGCTGCAATTCTAATTTTAAAATTTGCATAATGGGTTCAAAAACGAAGCATGTCTGAGATTGTTCTCTTTAGTTGCCAATAAAAGACAAGAAAAGCCCATATTTTGTCCCCTTTTATGCTCTTGTTCTAATCAATTCAATGTTAGTGCACTGCCATTTGGACCCTTGTTTTCTGCTCAAAAAGGATAAATTAAATGGATCCAATTTATAATAAGATTTTTTCCAATTGTACTGAAGAATCCATTATAGAAGTTGAACGGAAAACTCACGTGGAGGTGGACCCCACGTGAAATTAAATATTGCCAAAAATGCAGGCCCCACCCGTATTGTGTGTGTTTTGGCAATTTTCTGTGTGCACAGTTTCTGTACACACAGCAAAACTGTTATAATAATAAAGTGTACTCAGTCTCCCACACACGTGGCATGTGGTTAATGTTCTTGATTAAGACACCATTTTCTATGCATGTTCTAATCTATCAATTGATTGGGACATGGGAAGGTTAGGCTCTGTTTGAGTCATATTAAAATTTTCATTCTCATTCTTTTACTTATTTTTAACTACGCATCAATAATTTTTCCTTCTTTTTCAACCACACATTCTCCATCAATCTACTATTCCAAAATAATGTGGCTCAAATACACCGTAGATTATATTTTTACAAAAGTCACATTTATTATTAATATTGTTACTTATATCTCTTATCATCGCCGAGCCAAGAGAATTATGCGCTAGTGCAACTAGTGGGTGCAGGTGGATTGTCTTGATATTAAGGGCCTGTTTGGTAGGGATGAGCCATATTAAAATTTTCATTCTCATATTTTTACTCATTTTTAACTACGCATCAATAATTTTTCCTTCTTTTTCAACCACACATTCTCCATCAATCTACTATTCCAAAATAATGTGGCTCAAATACACCGTAGATTATATTTTTACAAAAGTCACATTTATTATTAATATTGTTACTTATATCTCTGATCATCGCCGAGCCAAGAGAATTATGCGCTAGTGCAACTAGTGGGTGCAGGTGGATTGTCTTGATATTAAAAATAGCCACATTAGACCCACCGCCTGATTTTTCGAGCATTGCAATGGAATATTCGTTAATCAAGAATCTTGTTGACAATGGTCTTAATTTACTCGTATATACAATTGTGCACGTTTCCAACTCTTGTGTTATGTGTTTTAAGTGTTGATTTTGAGTAGTCAGCTTGTCTATCAGATTCGTACTTCATATAAGGTCCGTTTAATGCATAAGAGAACTCATGCTTTGAATCAATTAAGCAACGAACATCACTAGTGTACTCGCGACTCCATGCGATTCTTATTAGGTTCATAACTTGCCAGTATGCACGCAATACCTTCTCTTGTATATATTGAATTACAGATTACTTGTGCGTTTGATGCACATTAAAATGAAAAAAAATGCATTTTTTTGTGATGTGAAAATGAATGTGTGGTTGAAAAAGAATGAAAAATTATTGATGTGATGAAAAATATTATTTTATTGAAAAATGTGTTATTGAAAATGAATAGAAGAATGAGAATGAAAATTTTAATGTGGTTCGTTGGCTAAATTTTCCCAGGGGACAAGGGGCTTGCGATCAAAGGCTATGATCGCAGTCCCTTAGAGCCTATTTAATGCACATTAAAATGAGAGAATGCATTTTTTTGAAGTGATGTGATGGGGAATATGTGGTTGAAAAAGAATGAAAAATTATTAATGTGATGAAAATATTATTTTATTGAAGAATGTGTGGTTGAAAATGAGTAGAAGAATGAAAATGAGAATGTGGCTCAAATAGGGGCTAAGTACACAAAAGTCTTTGCGGATCGACGCTCTATTGTTAGACTTTGTTATCCGACTCACACACTTTTGGATTTAGTACAACAATGTTTCTCTTGTGGTTGTGTTCTATAGTGAGAAATACCTATTCAAAACTCTAGTAGATAATCATTCTCCAAAAAATTCAAACCCCATGATCTCAAAAGACGTGCCCAAATGTTGTCGTACTTCGAGCCCCATTTTTACTTCAAAATGTATTCTGAACAGTGATTTGAACACATTTCAACCACATTTCTCAATAAAATAATATTACACGTAAATTCAAAAAAAATTCTTATTTTTTAACAATACATTCTCCATCATAACACTATTATAAAATACTCTCTTTTCTTCTTTTTTTAATGTAAAAAATGGAGTTGGAACAAGCTCTAGACTTCACAAGCAGTTGCTTCAAAGCAGGGGTGTGGAGTAGGTTTTGATTTTTAAGACAAATCACTTTCATAATTAACATCAATTCACCTCTTTAATACCTAGAATTATTTGATTTGTGGTTTTGTCCTCTCCATTTAATGAAGTAATGAATGATAGAGAGACTAGAGTTAGTATGGGTAGATACTGCAATAATGGTAATAGTACTATACATAGAAATAATGATTTCGTATTCCAAAAAGTTGATATCTCCTGTCAATCTAATTACCAAAATTAACTCCCATTTACGTTTAGAGTGTCAAGTGGGACCAACCCACCTTACCTATTGCTACATATACACATTTCAAATCGGAAGCTAAATAGCTTAAATCACTTGACACAATCTCACATCTTTTACATTTAATTCAATCATTATTCATCTGCCTAAGCCCCTGTTTGGCCCCCATTATTGTAGATTTTTAGGGGGTTGAAAATTTTTAGAATAGTGATTGATGGGAGATGTGTGGTTGAAAATTTTTAGATTTGTGTGTATTATTATTTTATTTGATGAATGTATGATCGAGATGAAGAGAGAGAAAAATTTAAATTTAGCCTTCGATTTATCGAATTTATACTTGACACAATCTCACATCTTTTACATTTAATTCAATCATTATCCATCTGCCTAAGCCCCTGTTTGGCCCCCATTATTGTAGATTTTTAGGGGGTTGAAAATTTTTAGAATAGTGATTGATGGGAGATGTGTGGTTGAAAAATTTTAGATTTTTGTGTATTATTATTTTATTTGATGAATGTATGGTTGAGATGAAGAGAGAGAATAATTTAATATAATGTAATGAGATATATTGGGGGGCAAACAAGGGCTAAGTATCATCATCCCTACTTATTGAATAAGAAATAAATAAGTAAAGAAAAATGCAATTATGTTGGAGTTAAGTAAAAAGAAATTTAAAAACAACCATATTTTTAGTATATTTGTACGTTAAAAAGGAAAGGGTATTTTTTTTTTTTTTTTGAAGATTTCGAATTGAAAATAAAGGAAATATTATAAGGTTTAAAATACTAAATTAGTATTTTTTGAATAAAAATGTGTGACATGATTAGCGTCAAAAATAAAATATTAAATTAGGTGTTAAGTATAGTGTTTTGCCAACTTTATCCTTCTAAAATGCGGCGGGGCTAATTCACTAATTTAATGATTGAAGATTAATTGCACACATTTGGAAACTATAAGGTCTATAAACTAAATTAGTATTTTTGGATAAAATGTGTGCCATGATTAACGTCAAGAATAAAATATTAAATTAGATGTTAAGCATACTATGTTGTTAACTTCATCTGTGGATGGCAAAAAAAGCATACTATGTTGTTAACTTCATCTGTGGATGGCAAAAAAGCTCGCCGGCTCGAGTTTGGCCTGAAAAAAGCTCGAGCCGAGCCTCGGGCCGAGCCCCATTTTGGGGGGTGGCCCGAGCCAGGCCGGCCCGTGTCCACACTGGCCGACCGTAATTAATAAATTAAAATTAAAATTAATTAAAAAATATTTAAAAGTTGCCTACGGCAGCTAAGGAAGAAAAATAAATTGGTAGGGCTCGGCTCGGCTCGAGCCTGAAAAAAGCTCGGCCAAAAAAGCTCGAACCGAGCCTGAGCTTATTTTTTTCGGCTTGACTCGGTTGACATAACTAACTTCATCCTTCTAAAATGTGACTGGATGAATTTGAAGACACTAAAAATTGAAGGTTAATTGCACAAATTTCTGAGAAGAAAAAAGTAGCATGGCAGCTAAGATTTGAAACCTAATCTACCTAATCACATATAGGAGCTTGCCACACTTTGTTGACGTTTTAGCTAAAGTTACTGTTTTTAATTTATTGTGGGGGCAAATTAAAATTATTAAAATTTAATATTTTATTAAAATTTTGAAATCAGCATAGTGTCAGTCACCTCACGCTAAAATCCGCCCCTGCTTAGTAGCCGAACATGCTTATTGTCTAAGATGGGCAATGTCGCGAAACGACTTGTTTGTATGTGAGAGTTGTGTCGGCTTCGACTCTTCAAATTTGCAGTTTGTCAAAACTTGTTACATATCTTGAGGACTCCGAAAAAATCTTGATCGAGTCGAGCCATATTTGACCAAACCAAACGTCTCGTCTTCTCTCAAAAAAACAATAAAAATGCATGGACTGACAATCTCCCTTAAATCAAATACTTTAAAAAAAGTAAAGAAATAGGAATCTTTTTCACTTTCTTTAGTAGAATAAGTCTTCTCTATCTTTAAAAGTATGTATAATACAAATCAACCAAAAGTAAGATATGCGTCGGAAAAAAAAGCATAAATAAATTTGATTGTTGTTTCCTATATATGTCCAAGAAACCACAGGTAACACAAATAATCTCTCTTCTTTCTCTCTCTAAAATGAAAATGGACAGAAGAATCAAGCTTGTCTTCATCTTCTTCTTGTTCTTATCAGTCTCATGTTTCAGTGTGAGTATATAATCTTCTTGTCTTCTCCTACTTTGTTTTTGCCCATTAGTCCTATGTCTTCTACTCTCTCTCTCTCTCTCTCTCAAACTGTTTTATGTTCGTACAAATCTTGAAATGCGAATGTTAGCTAGTTTGGAGATTTAAACGGATGGAATTGCTAGTTTGAATGTTTAGGATTTTGATACCATATTGACTATCGAGTTTCATCTTAAAAAATCGACATTGTTAGATTACTAGCTCGAAATAAACGGATTTTATTTTCATATATCCTTAACAATTATTTCATCTCTCACTCTTGCAGGTGACATTGGCCGATTCGAGAGTAAAAAAAGGGAATCCATTTACTGCAAGAGCTTCACTTGTTAGGTACTGGAAGAAACACATTTCCAATAACCTTCCAAAACCCTCATTTTTGCTGTCCAAATCTTCACCACTCTCCGCCGTGGATTCGGCTTTCTTCACCAAACTCGCCACTCAAAATGCTCTATCTTCCCACTTGCCCGCCTTCTGCGCCACCGCGGATTTGTTCTGTCTTTTAGACTCAAAACCAACCCTACAAACCCACGAGGATGATCCCAACTTTGCTCACTACACAAATAAAAATTTTGCAGCCTATGGATCCTCTAGTCTTGGTGGGGTTGACGTATTCAAGAATTACTCTCAAGGTGTCAACTTTGCCACAGGTTCATTCGCCCGATACAGCCGTGGGTCGACTGGTCATAACGAGAACTTCGCCGGCTATGCCGATGATGGGAATGTGGCCAGCTCCAACTTCTCCTCCTACGCTTCCTCCGCAACTGGTGGCGCTGGAGATTTCAAGACCTACATGCCGAGGGTTAACGTTCCAGATCTTCGTTTCACTTCATATGACTCGGACGGAAATGATCATAAACTATCTTTTACAAGTTATGTGGATGACACCAACTCAGGAAACCAAGCATTCACAAACTATGCCAAGAATGGCAACGGAGTGCCTGTCGAATTTACTAACTACGGAGACACGTCCAATGTTATTGGGTCGACATTCACAGGTATTTAGCAATCAACCGCGTTAAGAGGAATAGTCATTATTTATTGATTATTGTTTTCATATTCAAATTGTTCATAGAGATTTTTAGACTGCTACATTTAAAAATAATCTTGTTAATTGTAGTAGCACAAGCTCTTATAGTTGATTATTATTTTATACTTAATTGATGTGAGATTTTACCTTAACAACAGGCTATGGCGAGTTGGGAAATTCGGCTAATGATTCGTTCAAGGGTTATAGTACTAATGCTAATAACCCTACGAACAATTTTAAAAACTACGGCAATGGTGGAAATGGAGGTATCGATACGTTTACAAGTTATAGAGATTCGTCTAACGCTGGGACTGATACGTTTCAATCATATGGGAAGAATTCGAACACGGGGAAGACGAATTTTGTGAACTATGGAAAATCATTTAATGTAGGGTTTGATACATTCAAAGAGTATGCTAAAGGGGCAGTAGGTCAAATTGTTGGATTCAAGATTTATGGTTTAAATACTACATTCAAAGAGTTTGCTAAAAAGGGTGTCACATTTGCTCAATATACTAAGCCTTCTGGTTCTTCCAATGATGATTCCATAAAGGTCAGTGGCAAACCTGTAAATAACCACGTAGAGGAGGGCAAATTCTTTCGAGAAAGCATGCTGAAAGAAGGGACTGTAATGAAAATGCCCAACATTCGTGATTGGATGCCGAAAAGGTCGTTTTTGCCCCGGACCATTTCATCGAAATTACCATTTTCGACCAATGAGCTTTCCGTGCTTAAACAAGCTTTTCATGCACCCGACAACTCCACCATGGAGCGCGTGTTGATGAACGCTCTGACAGAGTGCGAGCGGGCACCCAGCCAGGGTGAGACCAAGCGGTGCGTTGGATCGGCCGAGGACATGATCGATTTCGCTATATCGGTCCTAGGCCACAATGTGGTGGTGCGAACAACTGACAATGTGAAGGGGTCGAAGCAAGACGTGATGATCGGGAAAGTCAACGGAATAAACGGTGGTCGAGTAACGGAATCAGTCTCGTGCCATCAAAGCTTGTACCCTTACCTACTCTATTACTGCCATTCAGTTCCTAAAGTGAAAGTATACGAGGCAGACATTCTTGAAGTAAAGAGCAAGGCTAAAATAAATCATGGTGTAGCTATTTGTCATCTTGACACGTCAACATGGAGTCCAAATCATGGTGCATTTTTAGCTCTAGGGTCCAGGCCTGGACTCATTGAAGTGTGCCATTGGATTTTTGAGAATGATATGACTTGGACCACTGCTGATGATTGATCTTAATTAAGGTCTTGTTTGGATTTGATTATTTTTAGGTTTACAATTTTTACAAGAATTTGATGACATAATCATCCTATGATCTGTTTATTTCACATGGAAAAAGAATATAAATTGTTTGAGTTGTTCCTCTTGACTTTTATGTGAAACATTGCATTTGTTTTCTCTGTTTTATTTTTGCAAGGATTTTAATTTTCGTGATATGCTTAGCTTGAATCGACTATATTTGATCAGTTCGGACAAAAAAAGTTTAGAATCTGTAAACATGGTCTTAGTTAGCAGACCCGATCCTGGCCCAAGGCTACCTAGGCAGTGGCCTTGAGCCTCAAGATGTGTGAGGCCTCAGAAAATTTAAAAACCCATTGATGACATTTTTATTTTTATTTTTTAAATTTGGGAAATACAGAATAGGAAATTTTGTGTAATTTTCTTGGATTAATTTTTTTTGAAGATGTAGCAGTGCAAATAAGGCATAAGGCTATCCTCTACTCAATAATGACTT